GTGTGTGTGTGTGTGTGTGTGTGTGTGTGGCCGTCGTCGTTATCTTGAGTACATATCTTTGTGCTTTGTGCGATTAAGGTTTCTTATGTTATGATTAAGGGCTGATTTAGCTTTTTTCATTTGCTTCTTTAATATTAATTCTCTCCTCTGTCCTCCTTCCCTCTCTTCTTCCCTCCTCTCTTTTATCCCTTTTGCCAGCCTTTCTGTCTCCTCCCTCTCTCCCTTCATCGCCCTCAGAGATAACGTTCTCATCGATCCTTGTCTCTCACCGTCTCCGACAACCAATAACTTATCGTGAATAAGGGAAGGAGACAGACAGACAGACAGACAGACAGACAGGTAGAAATAGATAGCGGTAGAAAAGAAACAAGAGGCACAGTCACAAAGACAAAAAAATAGAAAAAAGAGAGACAGACAAACAGAAATAGCAAGAGAGACAGACCGACAGCGCGCACTGCTCTCTCTCATTCATATTTGCCTTAATATATCCTGCGCACTTTTTCTCTGGGATGTTTATCGTGTTATTATTGTTGGATTTAACATCAGTTCCAGTTTTTAGGGGGGAGTGTTGGGGTGTGCGGTGGGGGTAAGGGGTAGGTGGTAGGGGGTTGGGGGTAGGGGTGGGGGGTAGGGTGAAGGATGAAGGGTCTAAAATCGCCTGGATAAACGGGAGGTAAGGATAAGCTTGGTGAGGATAATACCTGTCACATTTCTTATGACAGGGACATTTATTAAAAAACGGTGACAAACTTTTTTTGTTTTCTTGTTTTGTAATTAAAGATTTCGATGATTATATATGCGCTAGGTATAATTAGGCATAGGAGGCCTAGAATAACCTTTAAAAATGCATTTTCTCTTGATATTGTTTGTAAAGTGTCATTGAAATTAATCGGTATTCTCCATGACAATAACGGAAACATTCGTTATAATTATGATGATGAAAATGCCGTTGGTTATTTCATTTGATAATAACTGTAATTAAATTGAGGGCCATGTTATTGATAAATTCGTCTATGATGATTAGTCTTTGTTCTGATAAATGATTCAGTTAATTTTATGATGAAGGTCGTGATATCTGTAATACAGTAGTTGAGAGTTTGGGAATCGCCTTATGGATACAGTCATGCACACGCCCGCGACACTCACATACACACACATACAAACTTGTACGCATACACAGATTCACTCACATTCACAAGCACATTCACACGCACACGCACACACACACACACACACACACACACACACACACACACACACACACACACACACACACACTCACACACACACACACACTCACACACACACACACACACACACACACACACACACACACACACACACACACACACACACACACACACACACACACACACACACACACACACACACACACACACACACACACACAGAGAGAGAGAGAGAGAGAGAGAGAGAGAGAGAGAGAGAGAGAGAGAGAGAGAGAGAGAGAGAGAGAGAGAGAGAGAGAGAGAGGGAGAGGGAGGAGAAAAAGGAGAGAAGAAACGTAAAAGAAATAGAAACTGGCAGAGAGAAGAAAGAGAGAAGGGGAAAAAAAGGAGACGATAGGGAAAAAGAGACAAGTAGTTAAAGATAAAGAAAAAACAAACAAACAAGCACACAGGTTGCATTACAGCCCCAGCAGACTCCCAGCAGCACCAACCCTCGCATTCAAGCAGCCTTTCCTCACCGAATACAAAAGCTTTGCTCAGCCACATGGCCTCAAAGGTGCCTTAAGACGCAGGCGGAGGGACGGAAGCGAGTGAGGTGGCCGCTTGAAAGGGCTTTTAGAGGGACAGGAGGCGCTTGAGAGGGAATGAACGCGGTTGTTGGAGGGAGAGGGAGAGATGGAGGGAGGGAGGGAGAGGGAGAGATGGAGGGAGGGTGGGAGAGGGAGAGAGGGAGGGAGGGATGGATGGAGGGAGGGAGAGGGAGAGATGGAGGGAGAGAGGGAGAGATGGAGGGAGAGAGGGAGAGAGGGAGAGGGAGAGATGGAGAGAGGGGTAGGAATGGAGAGATGGAGGGAGGGGTAGGAAGGGAGAGAGACAGACAAAGACAGAGGCACAGAGACGAAATAAAGTGAGTGGTTGAGAGAGAAAAGAAGTGGGGAGCAGGAGAAGGAATGAAAAGGTACTGTCATGGCATTCAAGTTGTTTGGCTCCTCGCAGGGAGGCGCCGCCGAGGGGTGTTGAGGTTACGCTCACCCCGCCCCCCTTAGCACTGCTCTCCCCTCCCCCTCCTCCCGCCTTCTCCATTTCCATCACTTCCTTTCTCCATTCTCCTCCCCTCCTCCCCCTCTTCCTCCCCCCTCCCCTCCCCCTCTCCCTCTCCCTCTCCCTCTCCCTCCCCCTCTTCCTCCCCCTCCCTCCCCCTCCCCTCCCTCCTTACCCTCACCTATAAACCTAGAACAAATTACCTCCCAAGCCTCAGTTTAAATAATAATCGTAATAATGATAATAATTATTATTATAGTTATCATTATTATTACAAAAGAACATCCGTG